AGAGCATGACACTCCAACTCTTGGTAGGGAACATCACATTGCCTAAATGCAACATCCCATTGCCTAGACCAGTAGTGCCTAGTCTAGATTCAGAACCCGAGAGCGCGACACTTTCCCTGATGCAACCCCCATTAGAGCGCTGCAATGCCTTATCTCGGTGCCCCAACACATGTAATTGACATTAGGAAGTTCTTATTTATTATGCCATCTTTGTCAACAGGTGTTTGTTGATTTTCAAGTTTTCTATTGTGCAAATGAGAGACAAAGCATCTTGAAGTGTTCCAAAGTGGGGAGATTTTTGAGCATGGTGTAATTTGTATAATTTCATAGTGGATTTTTTAGTGTGATGTAGCTCTGTGATTTTTTTCTTTTCTTAGGTTATTCCAAATTAAATATTGTATTTTCTGTGATTTTTTGTTTTGTGCTCTTACGTTGAAATTTTGCTTCAAACGCTTGAATGAGTCCCCAAAACAATTCTCACCATAATGATTTAAACTTATCATTAATTTTTTATTTGAGCTCTATCTTAACTTCTTTGGTCAATAAATATCACCAATTCATAATGTATGGTGAATGGCATGGTGATGATGATCTAACAACATAGTATTCATAAGCCATTTTAAATATTTTTATTAAAAATATATTTAAAAAAATATTTTATTTGATCTTTTAATAATTAATTCCTGAGAGCATCAAATTGATTAAAGCAGCTGGAAAATTGGAATTCTAAATATTCAAATACACCCAATCAATCCCTCACTACAAACTTCCAATTTGAAAACAAGCAGCCACAGTTTTCATCCTTCCCTGCAAGGCTTCCACTTACTACAGGCAAATTCCCTGGAATGGGAAGCAGGTTCGCAACTCGCGCAGTCCCCGGAGATCCGCCGGCTAAGGCACTCCGGCGTCTCCTAGAGTCCCCTGGTATTCATCAAGCTCCCGTCTGTCACGATGCTCTCAGCGCTAAGCTCGTGGAACGGGCCGGCTTCCCGTTGGCCTTCATGGGCGGTAGGTGTTTGATCAGAGGTCTCATCTATGCATCTTCTATATACTTGTCCCAAAACCGGTTTTAGAGTCGAATTCGTTGAGAAAATCTTATATTGATACTTTAGTATCAATTATCTCTTTGATTGATCTTCATTTCTTCCTGATATCCCAAACAAATGCTGTTCTCATAGCCTGAAAACGGCAATATCGAATTCTTCTACTGAATGGCTTTGTAACTATGCATTACTGATCAATTACGTGCAAAACGACAGAGATGTGTACCTCTGATGTGATCGATATTCAGTTCTAGATGGATGCGATTTTGTTATGGAAAATTAATACAGTTGCCTTGGTTTTATTTGCTTAGTTTTTTTTTTCATTTTCTTGCGGGAATGGAGGATCTTATTTAGTTTCATTACAGCAAAAAAAGTTGCAAGAGAGTCTTCAAAAGGATAACTAATCTGCCTTGTATCAGTAGTCAGTACTCCAATGAGGAGATGTCAAGTAGGCAATGGTCCCACCGTGATGCCTACGTGGCACCCCCTCATTGGAGTACTGATGCATCAGTACTCCTGAGATAATATTTTTTCTGCAACCTTATAGTGAGTGGACGTAGAATTTACCTTGTTTCGATCTCTTCACATTGTTCATGCGTTGTGTATTATTGTTCTATGGTACAAGTTGATTTTATTAATCAATTTTCTGCAGATGTTTATATTAGAAAACTATCTGGTTATTTTCAGGGTTCGCTGTCTCAGCTGCTAGGTTGGGTTTGCCAGATGTTGGGCTTATTTCCTATGGAGAAGTTCTAGATCAGGCATATCAGATCACACAAAGTGTATCTATTCCTGTGGTTGGAGATGGAGACAATGGGTATGGGAATTGTATGAATGTCAAGAGAACTGTGAAAGGCTTCATTAGAGCAGGATTTGCGGGGATCCTTCTTGAGGACCAGGTTAGTTAACTGAATACTAGCATAATTATGTCAAGGAAACTACTCTAAAAAGGTCACATTCTAATTTCACTGCGGAGTAGGATTACGAGATTCCAGAAAACCGGAACAAAAAATTTAAGAAAACACCTTCAAAGCAACCAGAAAAACTCACTGAATTTTACGCGAAATAACCCAAAAACGGGAAAAAAATCAGTGAGCCACATCATCATAAATTTCACTATGTAATTCAGAAAGCTTTATAAAGGACTCATATAAGTTTCTTTTCCACACTCAAACGAAGAAACTTACAGAACTTACACCAACAATCTTCTCTCTCTAATTTGACCCAAAAAAAATTATGCCAAATCACTAAAATCCACGTCTTCGACACTCTTCACTTTCACCGGGATGCTCGTCGAAGAATTCAAAAGAAAGAAATAACAAATTATGCCTTACCAAGCTCAAAATTGGTATAAAAACCGTAAAATCATGTACTGACCGCACCGGGAGCTTAGGCGCCCACTGACCGCACCGGAGCTTAGGCGCCCAAACTTAGCGCTCAAGTAAGAGCCAAGCTCTCGACATAACCCCTATGCGTCGGTCTCTCGGGAATAAGAGCAACGACCGTTCTATAGTGGGCACATATGCGTCCAAAGCGGGCACCTAAACGCCGTCTCCATTGTAGCCGCGCCCTAATGGGGCGCTTGAGCGCCCATAACACTAGCCTTAAATGTTGCATGGAATGCTTCGGCTTCACACACCATAATAATTTCCTACTTGGAGACAAAGCGCCGAGCTCCCGTCCCCTGTACCTACCCTCCATCTGAATCGCCTTCATAGACACGTGTCATGGTCACATACTGTGGTGTGGCTCACCCCCAGTCTTAACCTTCTTGAAACCCAACTGAAGCCAAGCATAACTTCAGTTTCTCAATAGTCATCACCTTCGTCAACATATCCGTATGATTTCAGCTGTATTTATCTTTTTCATAAATAACCGCCTCTCTTCTAGAAGAGATCGAATGAAATGATATCTGAGCTGGATGTGTTTTGTCTTGACATGAAAGCAGTGTTCTTAGTAAGATGAATCACAACTCATTGCTCAATTCTGCGATGAAGTTCTTGAGCCAAATTATTTCCTTGCTAGCCTTAGTAATAACAATATATTCGGCCTCCGTAGTTGAAAGTGCAACAATCTTCTACAACCTGGAAACCCAACTCCTAGTTGTGTTCCCTAATATACCCCATTTTACTTCTACTATCCACATCTCCTGCTAGATCTGAATTTACGAATTCTTGTAATTTGATCCTTACATTTCCATAACAAAGTATATTGTTGACTGTACCTCTCAAATACCTGAGAATTCACTTTACCATCTCCCAATAATGCTTGCCTGGATTGCCCATGTACCTGCTGCTAGTCCCACTGTATATGTAATATTTAGCCTGATACAATTCATTGCATACATCAAACTTCCAACTGCTACAACATACTAAGTTCTCTCAATCTGTGCTTGCTCTGTTTCAGAATTTGACGATAGCTCTTTAGATATTTTGAAGTGACTACCTAACTGAGTGCTAACTAGTTTCACCTCACTCAGTAGAGAAACTACTTTCCTGTCTTCCACCACTAGCTTTCCTTGGAGCTTTGCGGTTTTTTTTGAAATACTCCTTATTGCAGCTTCAACATTCTCCTTTGCTTAACTTGGACTTTCCTTTCTTAGACTTAGATCTACCTCTTCTTGTATTCCTGCCCAGATTCCTTCCCTGTTATCAACATTCAACGCAGACCATGAAGATTTACCATTCACTACTTTTTTGCAAATTTCCTCATTCAAAATCAGACCCAAGATGTCATTGAAGTTTAACTTCGACGTCCCTAAAGAATTACTCACAACCATTATTAAACCATCTCAGCTTTCCGACAATGAAGATAGTATCACCAATGCTCTAATCTCATCATCAAACTTGATCCCCACAGAGCACAACTGACTTGTCACACTATTGAAGTTATTGAGATGCTTTGCCACTAAACTACCTTCCACCATATTCATGTTGAATAATTTCTTCATCAGAAAAACCTTATTAGAAGCAAATAGTTTTTCATGCATCTTGGTCAGTGCCGCTGTGAGATCCACTGTAGTTTTCTCATTCAAGATGATGAACGCAACTGAAGAAGAAAGGACAATGGGATCAAACTTAGTGTCTAAAATTTTCATTCCTTCATAGGCATAGACTCTGGTTTTCTTGTGATTCCTTGTAGTGACACATATAATTTTTTTTTGATACAAAAAATCATCCACCTGTATCTTCCAGAAAGCGAAGTTCGTCCCATTTAACTTCTTCACTTTGAACTTTGCTTCTTCGACCACTGCTCACACTTGAATTGGACCAAGCTCTGATACCAGTTTGTTAAGGAAACTACTCCAAAAGGGCCACCTTCCAATTTCACCGCGGAATAGAATCACAGGATTTGAAAAATTGGAACAAAAATTTAAGAAATTACAATTACAGCAACCAGTAAAGCATACACGAATTTTCTGCGGAAAACCTGAAAACAGGAAAAAACCACGGAGCCTCACTTTAACAAATTTTAGTATTAACTAAGAAAGTTTTACAAAGGACTCACACAGGTTTCTTCTCCACACTGACACAAAAAAATTTATATAACTTTCACCAACAATCTTTCTTCTTCAATCCGACGCAAAAAATAATTATACTGAATCATCAAATCCACCTCTTCAACACTCTTCATCTTCACCGGGATGTTCGTCGAAGAATTCAGAAGAAAGAAACAACAAGTTACACCTTACTACGCTCGAAATCGGCTTAAAAACGAAAATTCCGTGTACTAACCGCACTGGTTGCTTAGATGCCCAAACATGGCCCTTAATTGCAAAGCCCTTGGTATCGGTACCTAGAAATGGGCGCCTAGGCTCTAATATGCGCTGGTCTCTCGGGAATAAGAGCAGTACCCACTCATAGCGGGCGCATATGCACCCAAAGCCGGCTCCACTGGAGCCACGCCCTTATGGGGAGCTTGAGCGCCCATGGCTGGCGCTTAACGCCTAAGCGCTAGCCTTAAATGTTTCTTGGAATGTTTTGGCTCCACACACCGTAACACATTAAACTTGCTTTGTAGCAGAAACAAAATTGAACGAATGGTGAGTGATATTTGTTGATTTTTTATGTGAAAAATAAATTATATAGTTCGTGTTAACCATGGCCAAGCAGGCTAAACCATGGGACTTGGTACAAATATCAATCGTTAAAAAGCTTTGATTAATATTAAAAATGAAAAGAACTACATTGCAATTAAGAGATACTTAGTTCAATTGTAAGATTAAGTTGTTTATTATTTTTGTAGTCATTTCTTCTCCTCATTTTCCTGCTAAATTTAGTTAATAGCTAAAAAGGAAATACCATATCCATCTTTGTTATCTGCAATTTAAAATAATTGATTCAACAAATAATCAAGTATTTGCGAATATACATATTAGAAAAATTCGACACAGCATTTTCATACTTATGCCAAACAAGCCTTGAGTAATACACTTTTCTAAATACTGATAATTTTCTTGTTTTAAAGTTGTCACCAAAAGCTTGTGGACATACACGTGGACGGAAAGTGGTTTCAAGGGAAGAGGCGGTGATGAGAATAAGAGCTGCAATTGATGCTCGGGATGAAAGCGGATCTGATTTTGTCATAATTGCACGTACTGATTCCCGTCAAGCTGTATCCTTAGACGAAGCATTCTGGAGGACGAGAGCCTTTGGTGAAGCTGGAGCAGATGTTCTTTTTATTGATGCACTTGCTTCTGTAGAAGAGATGAAGGCTTTCTGCCAGATATCGCCTTCAATTCCAAAATTGGTATGCTATGGCTTAATTTTGTGTCTAAAGGGAGTTAAGTATTAACCATGTATGCATATATAACTACTATTCAATAGTTGATGTGTATACATATACATAATACTGCAAATGCATTTAAGTTCTTCATTCTACATAATAAATTAATAGTTTAAAACATTTTTTTTAAAGAGCTGCCTATGTTCGTAGGCCTAGGCCTATTGGAGCAAATAGGAGTGAATAGAAGGGAAAATCTTAGAAATTTTTCAGGAATTGTTTCTTTTTTTAACATGCTTGGAATTGAGATATTAATTGTTTTAGCTACTTTTATATAAAAACATAATGTCGTGGTGAGCAATGATTTAATAATTTTGGACACTTAAAATAAGGCAAAATGTGCTTGAATACTTGAAATGCTGTTAAAGCTTTTATTTTATTTTTATTTTGATTACTTATTATTTTTTGCTGCTGCTGTTGTGGCGGAAAGGAATAACCAACTTGTAAGGGTTGGCAGGTAATTCTAAGAGAATGAGAGGGCTTTAACACTTAATTTGACATAGCTTATGGATTGGTAAAATAGATAAGAGAGATTCTGAAAAGCTGAGATGTGCAATTTATTTAAGAAAAACTAGTATTATTGACGATTCCTTTACTTAGTTTAGCTTGCAGCACACCAAAGATATGATGTTGTTCCTTTCTTAGGTTCTTCAGTAATTGTTGATTTTGATACCGGCCTCAACTAGAACTAGTGCCTTGGCTAAGTAAATTTTGGAAGAGTCCTAGTATAGCCATTACACCCTAGAGTCAGAATTGCTATGCCTGTCTGGTGTGGACTAGAGAAAAATAGGCTGACTTGGTTCTTCGCTGTTTAGACAAGGCCCTCGATATGGCCCCAGCATTGAGCAACCCGGTTTCTTTGTTTTTATTGTATGTTCGGGTACAGCGGAACAATGTGTTGATTAATGAAAACAAAATTGGGAGCAACCAAAATCCTTGCACGAAATCTTTCTTGGTTTAGCCATTGAACGCCCAACAAAGACATGCAAACAAACAATATTCTCTCATTCTGGGTTCATTGACCTTGATTCCTACAATGGATCGATAAGTCTATGTTTGGCCAAGTAAACTCAGAAGAGAGTACCTGCAACTACTCTCTCATATTAACTATTGCATATCGTAGAAGGAAACTTTATAATCTCAAAACTCAGTGGCTTACTTGTAAGACAAATGGGTGAGCTCTTAGGGTGGATGCGAGTCCCCGAGCCTTCCACCTTAAACTGACAAATTGACTAGTTTTCTGGTTAGATATTAGCCTCCATGCTTCTATCATGATCTAGTCAACTCTGTGCACCACCTTGGTTGAAAATGAGTTTCTGCGCTTTTCTTCCTAATGTGTTTAGGTATATGAAATGACATAAGACAACACAACATGGCCTGACACAAAACACTAAAACGTGATATGACGCAAAACACTAAAACACGATATGACGCAAAACAACACAACATAATATGACACAAATAACACATTATGATAAGATACAATGCGATACAAAGTGATATAAAATGATATGAAATGAAATGGTGCAATATGAAATAAAATGAAATGAAACAAACTAAATCAACCTTTCCTTCGATTAGCTCTCGGATTAGATGTAAACTTCCATGATTTTCTATCTTGATCTAGTCATCATGTTCACCTCTTTAGGTTAGATGTGATTCTGTATCGTTTTCCATCGCAATGCCTTCAAGTAAATCAATTTCTCAAGTGGAATCAACCATGACGTTGATTAGCTATCAGGTTAGATGTAAGCCCTCATGTTTTTATTACTTGATCTAATCAACCTGTTTACCTCTTTAGTTGGATGTGAATCTACAGTCTTCTTAATGTGTTTAGGTGAATATAATTTCAATCTCGTCAATCGTTAGGATTCTGCCAGCATCCTTAGATTTTTCCCATTACCTTCCTTAGGCCAGGAATAAGTTTCCCAGCAGCTTCCTTTCCTAATAGTTCAAACTGAACTTTTTTAGACATTTACACAAAATCCCCATCATTAATCTTCAGTGAATCCTATTGGTAGGAAACACCAAATCTCACAAATCTGAATCTCCAAATCTTTAATCACTCAAATCAAAATTTCAACCCTCACATCAAACCCAAAATTCAAACTCAAATGAAGAATATTAATGCTCTTTATCTTTGGACTCTTTCGATCGTCTTAGTCAACGCTAATATATGCGTCGTACTTTGAAAAATTCATCACATATACTATAGGTCCATTTATTGACCTTACTTTTGGTCAACTCCTCATTCGCTTCAAATATAAAATGGAAATCAAGATTAATTAATTTCAATCAAATCCTAAAGTGGGACTGAAATGTAGCCCGATGAGGGAAGATTTCAAACTTATCATTTTTATGCTCTGAAATTAGAAATCTCTTTACAGATATGTGTAGTGCTTAGAACTTTATGATATTTGCTATAGTTGGTTCATTATTAATTTATGAATAACATGAAATAAATTTTGAAAACTATTAGGCATTTTTAATGTGAAATTTTGCGTGGCGAGCTTTCATGCATGAAAATTTATTCAATTTGAATTTTTCATCGAAGTGTCGTTTTATAAAATGGACTTCATGAATGTATCCGTATTATCGAAACCGTTCAATGAGCCCTTCATGCCCAAATCAAATTTTGTTTTGGAGTCCATCCAACCTACAGTAAGTTGGTTCATTATTAATTTATGAATAACATGAAATAAATTTTGAAAACTATTAGACATTTTTAATGTGAAATTTTGCGTGGCGAGCTTTCATGCATGAAAATTTATTCAATTTGAATTTTTCATCAAAGTGTCGTTTTATAAAATGGACTTCATGAATGTATCTGTATCATCGAAACCGTTCAATGAGCCCCTTCATGCCCAAATCAAACTTTGTTTTGGGGTCCATCCAACCTACAATAAGTTGGAAGATTAGGACAATTTAGACGATAATTACAATTTGGCCCTCAAAATGAACTCAAATCAATTCCAAACTCAAAATATAATCAAGTTGAGCTGAAAACATCAAAACTGACCAATTTGAAGCTCATTTGAAGTTTCATAAAAAATCTCAATTTTTTCTCACTTTGACCTAAATTTTCTAATTTGGGGCCCATTTAGTCTATAACCAATCTTTTCATTGTGTTCTCCTAATCATGTTGATCTGAATCAGCTAAAGAAACACTCCAATCCAAGTCCCAAGTACTCTTCCCAAGTAGGCTCAAGAGAGGTGCCAACACCTTGGTGTCACCTTGCACTTTTGCGCCAATCAAAGTGGAGCCTAGGTGCTAGGCAGCACCTTGGTTCCACTCAAAGTGGGTGGGCACCTAGGAGCCCCACTCTCTCCTGCTCTCTGGGCGAACTCGCACTGCCCAATAGAAAGGATGGCACACCTGCACGTCCAACGTTCTTCTCTTCTCCATTCTCTCTCCACTCTTCATCTCTTCTGCTTCTCTTCATTTCTTCTGTTCTATCGATCACTTCACTTCTTTATTCCTTTTCTTTACTCCGCTTCAACTTCTCTTCCTTATTCTCCCCTCCTTATTGGTTATCTTCCTTTCTCTTCATTAGGCCAAATCCCTAACACCACTATATTTTTCTTCTCCTTTCAAGCATATATTTCATATGGTGTTTCTCATGTGTAGTTTATGAAAATGTTTCTTATGCTTAGTACATATCCATGTGTAGTTTATGATAAACTTACTCATGTTTGACACCTATCTCCTGTGTAGTTTAGTTGATGGAAATGCTCTCATGCTTGGTACCTATCTCATGTATAGTGTAGTTTATGGAAAAGTTTCTTATGCTTAGTACATGTCCATACGTAATTTATGGAAATATTTCTCATGCTTGGTATCTATCATTTGTAGTTTATGGAAAGTTTCTTAAGTTTGGTGTCTATTCATGTGTAGTTTACTTTGTTTTATTTTTTTGTGAGAAAATAAAAAATGGATAAAAAAAGGAGGAAAACCTCTCATATATAAATTCTCCTTGTGAAGATTTTAAATAAAAAAATGTTATTTTTGCAAGCAAATGTAAAAAAAATGAATGAAATGATTTTTAAAGCCCTTTCAAAATAAAAAAACACACCACTTAGTGGGATAAAAATGAAAATGAATGAATTGATTTTTGCAAGCCATTTTAAATAGGACCTATTGGAGAAAAAAGATTCATGTAACCGACCCCACTTAGTGGGATAAAGATTTTGTTGTTGTTGTAATAAAAAATTTTAAATAAATTTAAAACAATTTTAAAAATTAACTTAAAAGAAAATAAAATGAAATAATTTTAAAAATTTATATTTATTTTAAGTAATAAAAATAAATTTAAAATAACTTTTAAAACTTTTTTAATCTTAAAAAAAATGAATAATAAAATAATTAAAAAACAACTTAAAATAATTTAAAACCAAATTAAAAATATTTTAAAATAAATTTAAAACTAATTTAAGAAATTATTTAATTTTTTTTAAAATAAAATTAAAACAATTAAAAATAATTTAATAAAAAATAATAAAAAAATTTAAAACATTTTTAAAAATATTTTAAAACTCTTAAAAATAATTTCAAATGACTTAAAAGGTAATTTCAAACATTAAAAAAAGTTAAAAGATTTAAATATACATGTAAATAATCTAAAAAAAATTAAGTTATTTAAAATAATTTATAAAAAATTTTAAAATAATTTATTACATTAAAAATTTTTTATAAAAATTTAAAATAATATACAAAATTTAAAATAATTTAAAACATTTGAAAATAATTCAAAACAATCTAAAGTAATTTAGAAACATTTAGAAATAACTGTAAAACCAACTTAAAATAATTTAAAACTAATTTAAAAATAATTTAAAACATTTAATATTATTTAAATCAATTTAAAATAACTTAAAATAGTATAAAAATAATTTAAAACATATAAAGTAATTTAAAACATTTTAAAAATTATTTAAAATTATTAAAGTTTTTTTAAACATTTAAAATT